GGGGGGGCGGCGCGCAGGCTCGAGCCCCCCCCCCCCAGAACGGCCCTCGGATGCTTCCCCTCTCCTGAGAGACGGGCGAGGGGGTGAGGGCCGGCATGGCGTGCTTCGCCGCCAGTGTGCCGGCACACTGGCGGGCGCCTACACACCTTCACCAGGCCATTTGTCAAATGGCATGGCATCCGGGCTGCCGCCTCCGGGGGATGCCTCGTCACAGCGTCTTCTCCCTCTCCCCTCCTCCCCCCTCTCCTCCTGCTATTGGGCTGCCCCCGAACAACGTTCGCACCTCCTCCGCCGTCCCATCCCCCCCTTTTGCCTCCCCTCCCCCCCCCCCCCGATCCCTTCAACCGGTCCCCACTGACGGCGGAGCAACTCCTACCTGGTGCGCCCTCCCCCCCCCCCCCCCCCTGCGCCCTCGCCACGCAGCTCCCTGCTCCGTGTGCCGATCCCACTCTGCTGTCCGATTGGGTCTCACTGGCCCTGCACGGCTCCCCTCAAGCTCCTGGCTTTCATTCCCTGGCTCCTGCGCTGTCCCCTAACACTGCCACTCTGCTGTGCTTTCGTGCTTGCTCCCCCCCGCCTCTCTCTCGCCCAAATCTCCTGTTGCCCTCCCCCCTCTCAGCTTCGGCGTCCTCATCAGTAGATCTCGGAGCCATGTCTGAGTATGTTCAGACCTTCCTCCTCCCTCCAGCCCCCCACGCCCCCCTTTCCCGGTCTCGCTTTCTCCTTCCAATCTGCCCCTTTTCGCACCGATCCTAATGTCTCTCTCCCTCCCCCCCCCCTTTCCCTCCCTCCACAGCATGGATTGGTTCTCGGTGCCCTTCCCAGGCCACCCAGCCACCGTCCTCTACATCAACCTTTCGCAGAATATCATTAGCTACTCGTATCCCGATGGAGCGGAGAGCATGTACGCATATGGTGCCACCGTGGTCCCCCCCCTCTCTCTCTCTCCCTCTCTTAGTCTCCCGCGACCTGACACGTGTCCCGGCCGCCTTCGCATCCTCCCCTCTCTCCCCTCGCTGCGCATGTGCATAGCCACACCCCCGACGGTGCCGTCTGGTGGTGCTTCTCCGAGAACGATCACGCGGTTTACGTCGACGCTGAGGGCACCCACAAGGTGTCGTACGCCCCCTTCGACGAGCACTGCTTCGTGGTCTACCTGGACTCGTACCGCGGCTCCGTCAATGACTCCTCCGTGGACGATCTGACCAGTCACCTGGCTCAGAGTGCGTTCTCCCGGTCCCCTCCCTTACCATCCCACACACGCATACACCTTCCAGCCTGGCCCCCCCCCCCGCCTGCTCACGATTCTCCCTTCTCCCCCTCGGTCCTTGCCCCCTCCCCCCCTCCCCCCCCCCTGCCGCCGCCGCCGCCACGCACGCACACAGTCCCCCTGGACTCCACTGTCCCGGAGAATGACGACGAATACTACGAGGAGTATGACGAGTCGCATGGCGACCATTCCACGGACTTCCACAATCCCATGGGTGCACATGCCGTGGGTGGCTTCGCTCCGCCGATGGTCCCGCCTCCGGCGGCGTCTTGCTGGACGCAAGACACCGACGAGGAAGATGCCAACTCCTGGAACGACGCCCCGGCCGACGACACGGCTTCTGCCACAGGTCTGGGCGGCTTTGGCGGCCCCCCGGACACCGCCGACACCTCCTCCATCAGCAGCGGGTTTGCCCCGCCACCCGTGGCCTTCCTCTCGCCCGCCACCTCGGCCAATCACATCGGCGACGCGGTCCATGCGGAGGCCGCGGCCCACGCCGACCAGGCACAGCAGCATCCCCAGGCCGAAGAGCCGGCCGCCGGCTTCCCCTCCCCCCCGCGGCCGGCCGTCCCGCCAGCCCGCCCGCCGACCGACCTGCAGAGTGCCCCTCTGCTTCCGGGCTGGTCGCAGATCCTCGACACCAGCAGCGGTCGCAACTACTACGTCAACTCGGCCACCGGTGAGACCACCTGGTCGCGGGCCATCGCCACTGGCCGGACTGACTCGGCTGTGCCGAACCAGAATGCCTCTACCAGCCGGCCGACGTCGGCCGCCCCGCGCCGGCCGCCCCCCCGCCCGGCTGGTGCCGATGCCAACGCCGCTGCCAGCTCGGATGGTTCGTTGTTCGGCAAACATGCCACCTTTGGGGGCGGACAGGCCTGTGTGTCCGGCCTCCTCCCCCCTCCCCCCCTCCCCCCCAATCTCTGCCCATCGCACCCTGTCCCCGACTACTGCTGACTCTTTCTCTTTTTCTCTCTTCTCCGCCCCCCCCCCCCCCCCCATCTGTCGCCCTTGCCTGTGCACGATGCGA